ATCAAATAAAATAAATGGCTAGTATCCAAAATTTATAAGGAACTCACCAAACTCCACACCCGAAAAATAAATAATCCAGTGAAGAAATGGGCAGAAGATATGAACAGACACTTCTCCAAGGACATCCAGATGGCCAACAGACACATGAAACGATGCTCAGCGTCCCTAATCATCAAAGAAATACAAACCAAAACCATACTGAGATACCACCTTATGCTGGTCAGAGTGGCTAAAATGAATAAATCAGGAGACTATAGATGCTGGCGAGGATGTGGAGAAACGGGCACCCTCCTACACTGTTGGTGGGAATGTAAACGGGTGCAGCCCCTCTGGAAAACAGTGTGGAGGTTCCTCAAAAAACTAACAATAGAACTCCCCTATGACCCAGCAATAGCACTGGTAGGAATTTACCCAAGGGGTACAGGAGTGCTGATGCATAGGGCCACATGTACCCCAATGTACCCCAACAGCAGCACTCTCAACAATACCCAAAACATGGAAAGAGCCTAAGTGTCCATCAACTGATGAATGGATCAAGAAGATGTGGTTTATCAATGGAATAGAATTGAGAACTCAGAATTGGACCCAAAAGTATATAGCCACCTAATCTTTGACAAAGCAGGAAAGAGTATCCAATGGAAAAAAGACAGCCTCTTTAACAGATGGTGCTGGGAGAACTGGACAGCAACATGCAGAAGAATGAAACTAGATCATTTTCTCACACCTTACACAAAAAAATAAACTCAAAATGGATAAAGGACCTGAATGTGAGACAGGAAACCATCAAAACCCTAGAAGAGAAAGCAGGAAACTTCCTTGACCTCCACCGCAGCAATTTCTTACTTGACACATCCCCAAAAGCAAGGGAATCAAAAGCAAAAATAAACTATTGGGACCTCATCAAGATTAAAAGCTTCTGCACAGCAAAGGAAACAATCCATAAAACTAATAGGCAACCGATGGAATGGGAAAAGATAGTTGCAAATGACATATCAGATAAAAGGTTAACATCCAAAATCTATAAGGAACTTACCAAAGTCCACACCCGGAAAACAAACAACCCAAAGAAGAAATGGGCAGAAGATATGAACAGACACTTCTCCAAAGAGGACATCCAGATGGCCAACAGACACATAAAATGATGCTCAGCATCCCTCCTCATCAGGGAAATACAAATCAAAACCACACTGAGATACCACCTCACACCAGTCAGAGTGGCTAAAATGAGCAAATCAGAGGACTCTAGATGCTGGCGAGGATGTGGAGAAACAGGCACCCTCCTACAACTGTTGGTGGGAATGTAAACTGGTGCAGGCCCTCTGGAAAATGGTGTGGAGGTTCCTCAAAAAATTAACAATAGAACTCCCCTATGACCCAGCAATAGCACTGCTAGGAATTTACCCAAGAGATAGAGGAGTGCTGATGCATAGGAGCACATGTACCCCAATGTTCATAGCAGCACTCTCAACAATAGCCAAAACATGGAAGGAGCCTAAGTGTCCATCAACGGACGAATGGATCAAGAAGATGTGGTTTATCTATATGATAGAACACTACACGGCAATGAGAAAGAGTGAAATCTGGCCATGTGTAGCAACATGGATGGAACTTAAGGGTGTTATGCTGAGTGAAATAAGTCAGGCAGAGAAGGACAGATACCATATGTTTGCATGTACAGGAGGATTAGGAGGAACTTAATGGAGGATCGTGGGGGAGAAGAAGGGGGGAAATAGTGGGGGAGAGGGAGAGAGGCAAACCATGAGAGACTCTTGAATGCTGAGAACAAACTGAGGACTGATGGGTGTGGGAGGACAGGGGGAAGATGGGCATGGAGGAGGGCACTTGTGGGGATGAGCACTGGGTGTTATACGGAAACCAACTTGACAATAAAAAAAAAAGCACCTTCAAACCAAAAAAAAAAAAAAGACGTGGTTTATCTATACAGTGGAATACTACATGGCAATGAGAAAGAATGAAATCTGGCCATGTGTAGCAACATGGATGGGACTTCAGGGTGTTATGCTGAGTGAAATAAGTCAGGCAGAGAAGGACAGATACCATATGTTTGCACGTATAGGAGGAGGAGGAACTTAACAGAGGACCATGGGGGAGAAGAAGGGGAAAAATAGTTGGGGAGAGGGAGGGAGGCAAACCATGAGAGACCCTTGAATGCTGAGAACAAACTGAGGGCTGATGGGGCTCGGGGAGAGGGGAAGGAGGGTGATGGTCATGGAGGAGGGCACTTGTTGGGATGAGCACTGGGTGTTATATGGAAACCAACTTGACAATAAACTAAGAAAAATAAAAATTAAAAAAAATAAAAGGTCTGGGAGATATATATATATCTATATATACATGTATATATATACACACGTACATATATATATACACACACACACACACACACAATAGTATATTACTCAGCCATAAAAAATGAAATCTTGCCATTTGTAACGATGTGAATGGAGCTAGAGTGTATTATGCTAAGTGAAATAAGTCAATAAGAGAAAGACAAATACCAAATGATTTCACTCATATGTGGAATTTAAGGATCAAAACAGATGAACACAGAGAGGGGAAAAAGAGAGAGGCAAGCATAGAAAAAACTCTTAACTATAGAGAACACACTGAGGGTTACTGGAGGGAAGGTGGGTGGGGTATGGGCTAAATGGGTGATGGGCATTAAAGAGGGCACTTGTAATGACCACTTGGTGTTACATGTAAGTGATAAATCACTAGATTCTACTCTTGAAACTAATATTACATTGTATATTAACTAACTAGAATTTAAATAAAAATAAAAACTTGAGTCAAACAAAAATAATGATATGAACACATAAAAATCAAATTTTTCTACAGGACAAAAAGCAGAATCAAAACACAAAGATTAAAAATAATAAAAATAAAATTTTAAACAGTCCAGTAATATTCACATGTCCTCGAAGCTGAGCATAAACTTCACTCTATGTCTGCCTAGCAGGGCTTATATTTCTTCCTTTTACTCACACATCTAGCTTATATATCCTTTCCTTGATATGAAGCTCTTGACTAGAAAAGAGTTCCATCTCTAGGATCTGAGAGAAGTGTGTGAATTTGAATAGTAGATAAAACTGCCCTGCTATGGTCTTGATGTACAAAAATTTTCTTTATCCACTTGATGACGTGGCACAAAATGCATGTAATTTTCCAAATAACATATCTGTCTGGGTGGGCATAATCAACATGAGTAATAAGTGTGGTTTCATAAAGTGGAGCAAAAAAAAGCATTTTAAAATAACTTTTTGAATAGTATCTAGCTCACTACGTGAGGAAAGGAGACATTTTCATGTCATTTTAAGCACCACTAACTTAATAGCTCTGTATCTTTTGGGGTTTTGTACCATGTAATTAATGCCTTTTATACCTGTTGATTCTGTTGTTCTCTTTTGTGTATTAAATATTTTTCATTTTGCTGGGAAAAAAATGGTCTAGGATTATTCAGTCTGGAAAGAGAAAGCCAAAGACAGGTAGAGAGTAAAAATATTTGTCAACAAATCTCAGGTTACCTATGCTTTGAAATGAAAAATTTTGATTATATCTTGAATAAGTCTTTTTTACCTTGCTGTTCCAATCATTAGTCCCAAATTAATTCAATCCTCAAAAGTATAAATTTTATGAGAACAGGGTACTTTGCTTTATTCACTGCTGTATCCTTAGCACCTAATACAATACTTGGCACATAGTAGGCATTCAATAAATATTTGTTGAATAAATGACATAAGTTGGTATTGCAATTAATGATAACCCTTTCTAGTATAGGTTTTAGTTTGGCCTCTTATAGTTTTAGGTAAAAGATATCCCCAAAATAATAGGTTGGTAATTTCAAACATAAGTGCTAAGGACAGCAGGACAGTTGTCACTTTCCCCCTATTTCTGATATTTGTAGTCCTTCCATCTTTCTTTCTTTCTTTCTTTCTTCCCTCCCTCCCTCCCTCCCTTCCTTCCTTCCTTCTTTCCCTCTCTCTCTCTTTCCTCCCTCCCTCCCTCCCTTCCTTCCTTCCTTCCTTCCTTCCTTCCTTCCTTCCTTCCTTCCTTCCTTCCTTTCTTTTTGAGAGAGAGCACATGCAAGCATAACACAGGAGGGGAAGAGGAAGAAGGAGAGAGAGAATCTTAAGCAGGCTCCATGCTCAGTGCAGAGCCCCATACAGGGCTTGATCTCATGACCATGAGATCATGATCTGGACCTGAGCTCAAATCAAGAGTCAGATGCTCAACTGCCTGAGCCACCAGTTGGCTGGTGCCCCTATATTTGCAATCTTTTTTTTTTATATTTGCAATTTTAAAAAATCAAGACCAGGACCTGTTTCCTCCAGGTTGCTTCAGCGGCAAGATTACCATGGCAACACCTTGTACGTAACCTGCCATCTCCCATTTTAAGAATCGTATATCTTCTAGTGAACCCAAGAAAATGAAAGAAATTTAAAATAACTGGAAGTATTTTTAAGCTTCTAAAGTTGATATTTTGGAAATGAACCATGATCCATAAAATGTATCTTAGCATCTCTGCTAGAGATATGAATGGATGAAATGGATCATATAACATTTTTTATTTCCAAAATATTTATCTCCTTTTGCTATCTTAAATAGGCTTTATCCCACAGACCTTCTATGAGAGAATATTTTAGGGGCACCTGGGTAGCTCAGTTGGTTAAGCATCTGACTTCAGCTCAGGTCATGATCTCGCGGTTTGTGAGTATGAGCCCCGGGTCGGGCTCTGTGCTGACAGCTCAGAGCCTAGAGCCTGCTTCAGATTCTGTGTCTCCCTCTCTCTCTCTCTCTGCCCCCCCCCCCCACTCACACTCTGCCTCTCTCTTTCTCTTTCAAAAATAAATAAACATTAAAAAAGAGAAGATATTTTAGAATATCTAATCTGACAAATATGTATATACTTATAGGGTAATGAAGGGAGGATATTTGAAATCAGGCCTAAACCAGAAAATGACACTCAATATTACATCTACCTTGCACGCTGGATCAGCCTGTAAGCAATGTACTTGTGGAATAAGTATCCCAGCCGAACTGTGTCCAAATGAAGTGTCTCAATTATGAGATTCCTAGCTGTTGTGTGTAGCTGTGAAGGAAGTCCAGAAGCTTTTGTGGCCTGATTTAAGAGTATCAGGTTCTTTCTCTGAGCCTCCACATCAACAAAATACCTCTGCTCTGTGAACTCTTGGGGAGTAGAAGGGGGCACCATCATCTTGGGTTTCTTGGAACATGAAACTGAAGTCAGTATCCAGGGCTTGTCTATAGGGGGGAACTGGGATTTGTGATCCCATCCAGAAGATGAGATCTGTGATGTTTTGGGTAGTTTAGTTGTAAGAGAAGGTAGTGATGTTATAGGCTTCATGAGAGTGGGAAGGTAAGGGGTTTGTGATACTGGTGCCCTGTAATTAGTAAGATAGGACTGAATTGTTCTAAATTGTTCCATTGCAATAGGATCATGGCATATTGGGATTTCTTCAGAAGTATCAGAGACCTCTGATATTTGGAACTTCTTGGTGGTGAAAGGGGCTTGAGTTACCTTGAAATCTGCAGCACTGGGATGAACCAATGCTGATTTAGATTTCAGAGAAGAAATTGCCAATCTTTCCTTACTTTTCTTGGAGACAGAAGAAGACAGATCTTTCTGGGGCTTTCCAGGAGTTGGGGAGGTCCACAGTGTTGGAGGATGCCCAGGGGTGGGAGGGATCCACAGTGGCGAAGCTTGATGCTGCCCAAGGGTAGAAGGGGCTTGTAGATAGAAAGATTGCTCACAAGTAGCAGCAGGCTGAGATGCCTGGGGCTGCTCAGAGTGTGTTAAGGGTCTAGGTTCCAAGAGCTCCCCATGGATGGAAGAGGTCCCAGGAACAAAGGGCTTCCTAGGAGAAGGAGGAGCCAAGAGACCAGGAATCTGTGCAGAGGTGAGTGGGACTCCAGATACAAGGGGCTGCCTGGGGGCAAGAGGGTCTTCTGATATCAGAGGTAACTGAGGAGTCCAAGAGGTAAAGAACTGCCGAAGACCAAGAAGGGTCTCCAGTGTAAGGGGCTGCCCTGAAGTTGGCAGGGTCCCAGCTATGGGAAACTTCCCAGGGGTCAGTGGGACCTCTGGTGCTACAGACTGAACAGAGGTGGGTTGACTTTTAGAAAACAGGGTCTGTTTAGACGATGGAAAAGTCTGTGGTGCAAGGAGTTTCCTAGACTCAGAAGGAATTCTCACTCCTAGCGATTTACCAGGGGCTTGGGAAGTAGGAGACAGTGATATCTGCGAGGGAATAGGAGAGGACTTCTCAGCAATAGGAGCAGATGCTGGGGGTTGCCTAGGAAGGACAGAAGCCTTCAATTTTTGAAATGATCTAAGCCTGGAAGAATCCAATGTGGGGAACTGCTTAGAAATGTGAGGAGCACTTGGTGTGACAGATTTATCACTAACAGGCACGATCCCAACTTTCAGGGTATGTTCTAAAAGAGGATGGACCCCAGGTGGTGAGAGCCGTTCATTAATAAGAGGTGCTCTTGATTTTAGGTCATCCACCCCCATAGGATGGGATTGTCCTGGGATAAAGGAGGCTCCCAAAGGTTGGACTTGCTGAAGAGTAAAGGGAAATCCTAAGGCATGGGATTTATCTGACTTATCTGATTCCCACAAGTGTTCTGGAGAGAGAGAAATCCCTAATGCTTGAGCCTGTTCTAAGGAGAGAGGGGCACCCAAAGCCTGGGTCTGTTCAGGGATAAGAGTGACAGCTGAGACCCAGGCATTTTCTGGAGTGATAGGGACCCCCAATTTCCAGGCCTGTGCTGCAGTGATAGGAGACCCCCATCCATGAACTTTCTCAGGGGTGTGTATGAAACCCAGGTCCTGGCATTTCTCAAGGGTGAGGGCGACCACCAATGCTTTGAATTGCTCAGATGTGAGGGTAATGCCTTGTGCCTGGGCTTGCTCAGGGGTAAGAGTGATTCCCAGTGCCTGTGCCTGCTGAGGGGTGAGAGTGATTCCCTGTGCCTGACCCTGGTGAGAGGTAAGAGTGATCCCCTGTGCCTGTGCCTGTGCCTGATCAGGGGTGAGAGTGATCCCCAGTGCCTCGGTCTGCTGAGGGGTAAGGGTGAACCCCTGGACCTGGGCCTGCTCAGGAGTGAGAGTTATCCCCAGTGCCTGTGCCTGCTGAGGGGTGAGAGTGATCCCCTGAGCCTGCACAGGGATGAGGGTGATCCCCTGTGCCTGTGCCTGCTCAGGAGGGACAGTGATGCCCAGTGCCTGGAACTTTTCAGGGGTGAAAGTGATCCCCTGTGCCTGTGCCTGTTCAGGGGTGAGAGTGATCCCCAGTGCCTGGGCCTGCTGAGGCATGACTTGTTCAGGAGTGAGAGTGGTCTGCTGTGCCTGGGCCTGCTGAAGGGTGGGGGTGATCCCCAGTGTCGGGGCCTG